TTTAACTTCAAATTCTAAAATTTAAATATTGGGGAAGAGTCCCCTTTTCCGACCTACTAGTTTCCATATTTAAAGAAGTAAAATAAATCGAAATTTACCCATAGAAATTGCACTGTTGCCGTAGCAAAACCAATTAATTCAAAATAAAGTTTATTACAGTAATTGTTCAAAATGCCGTCCATTATTATTTACACACACTTGCAATCGTCTTTCCAAAGAACTTTATATATTAGAAATTAGTCTTGGATTTTGTCGTAGTTCCTCGGCTACCGCATTAACTTTATTGGTTAATTGTTCAACACTATTAAAAGGTTCATTATAAACCAGTTGTTTCATGTGACCCCACAAAAAAAATCGCATGGATTTAAGTCCGGAGATCTTGGAGGCCACTTAGTAGGTCCATTTCTGCCTATCCACTTTTGAGGAAATCTAATGTTCAAAAACTGACGTACGTTTAAATCAAAGTGAGGAGGAGCGCCATCTAGTAGGTACCACATCCGTTGCCTTAATTGTAACGGTATCTCTTCTAGGAGTACTGGCAAAATATCTTCTAAAAAGTGAAGATATCCTGGCCCATTTAATCTGTTCGGGAGAACATAAGGCCCGATTAAATACTGATCTATTATGCCAGCCCAAACATTTATTGAAAATTTTCTTTGATGCCCAGTTTCCCTAATGGCGTGAGGATTTTCATCACTCCAAATATGCGTGTTGTGCATATTGAACACGCCATCACGAGTGAATGAAGCCTCGTCAGTATACAATAATATTTTTAGAAAATCAGGAATATCAACACATTTTTGAATCATCCATTCACAAAACTCCACTCTCTTTTCTTCATCACCTGGATATAAGGCCTGGACTTTTTGGATGTGATAAGGATGTAAACCTTGTTCTTTAAGTGTCCGCCACACAACAAATGAGGACACTCCAATTTCAAGACCTAGTCTTCTACAACTTAATTGAGTCCGGTTTTCAACAGCTTCCAATATTTCTTCTTCGGCCGCCAATGTTCTTTGTGTTCTTGTTCTCCCTCGATCTGCATTGACACTCTCAAATTTTCCATGGTCTCTTAGATGCCGAACAGTTGAAATAAACGTACGACAGTCCGGAATTCTCCGATTTGGAAACCGTTCGCGATACAGGATTTGTGCTTGCCGAGAATTTTCTCCAGCTGCCCCATAAACCAGCACTATATCCGTTAGTTCAATATTCGTAAATAGTGGCATCTTAAAAAAATATTTAAAAGTAAACGTAACAACACTTTTTACCAACTTGGAAATGACGCGCTCGTGTTAGCCAGATTCGTAAATCAACTAAAATTTTAATAATCTATAGTTTCAAAAATGTATAGTTTAAAAACAATCATTTATCAAATATTCTAGTTTTTTGATAACGAGGGTAGTAAAAACCAGTCTTCGGAAATAGAAATTAATTCGAAAATCTTGGCAACATGGTTATTTCTTACAAGACTAGTTTTCTTATCATCTGACAAAAACTTGCATATTAATTACTGTTGATGTTTAAAATAGGTAAATAAACCTAATTTATATAGGTCATCCTCAACATATCAGTGAAGTACGTTTGTTTTAGAATTAATTTTCAAAAATTAATAACTCCCTTAATAAGGGGTATTTTTAAAAAATAATATTTTTCTACATTCAGTGGGGATCTGCGCAATACCCAGTTTTAATATGTACGTGTATTTCAATAACACCCTGTATACTTATATTTTTTAGGAGAATCCTGAAAGAAAAAAAATCCACGGTGTTCCATTGGGATAAATATTTTTTATGTCGTTTTGCTTTTTGGAAGCACCCTATATGTTTAACAATATTTTTATAATAGGCGTCTTGGTACACTAAAGAACTTTTTTATTTGTATCTCATCATTTAATCAAAGGCAGAAATCTAGTCCTTGTTGAATATTTAAAATTTAAGAATAGATGTTCAAGAACATCTGAAATTGTTTATTTAAAACTTTTCTACTTTCTGATATCTACTATTTTTAGTAATACTGGTATTATTACAAAACTAAAGGTACTTATTTTCTTCTTAGTGCTGGTACAGCTATCCATTTATTTCTTTGATGTAATTTCCATTTTCCTACTGATAATTTATATAATTTACACTATTTTTTTGTTAATATCTTTTTAATTTATTGTTTTTACCTATTTTTTGAAAAAAATATAAAATATATTCGTGTACTTAATACGCCAAAATTACAAAACATCGCCCAAAAGTACTCGAATTATCCGCAGATTGCGCTAGTATCGCTTTTGCTTCCCCTACCATGACTTCTCACTGAGCGAATAGCAAAGTTTTTTAAATTCGTTTAACAAAGCTGGGTGGTTTAATTCTAGCAAATCAATTGGAAAAATGTCAAGTTTGTTTGAAAAAGTGATCTCATGGGTATGGAATTTGATTTATTGATTTTTTTTGTCAGTTGGGGATTAAATTTTGCAGAAGTCAGCGGTACTATTTTTTGTAATTGAATTAGGAGATTATTTGTTTGGAAAATTATGATTGATTTTATGAATTGAAGGAACAATAATAAAAATAAAAGGGTATCACAGCAAGATAAAGTGTAGAGATATGCGCGAGATCAATAAACAGGACAAAAAATATGTACATGAAAGGGCTTGTTTGGTATTCAGTTATATGTTAAATATATTAGGAGCAGGACAGGAGCAAAGCAGTATAAAAAAAATTAAAGTAGATTTGTTAATTGTCTTTATTACTTGAATTGAATTTTTAAAATTTTTATTCGCCCCTATTTTGAGATATTTTTTTGGAACATACAGAATATAAGTTAATATGATTTAATAAATACACAATCCCAATAGTACTTAATATTACCTTTCGGTTAACTTTTATATACATTACAAATGAAACGACCTTACCAAATATGAGAAAGTTCTAAAGGATGACTTGATTTTAATATAGCTTTTCGGATACTTGGTTTTGTATTTTCAAACTCCAATAATCACTTTAATCCCGAATATCTCCTTTACGAGACGAAACCGCAACGTATTCTTTTATGATATAATTTCGGATAAAAGCGGAGCATTAACCATTAAATCTTATTACTGTAATCAATGTTTGCGCCTTAGCTATATAGAGACGGCATCGTTAGACATAAAATAAACAGTAACGTTCTATCAATTACATCATTGTCATTAGCTTGAGTGAAAACAATGGTTAGAGTTTGTGTCGAAATGTAATTGTTACGCGAGTGTTATGTCCTGGAACTAATTCATATTGACAGTTATAGTAAAGTTTTTGCCAATGCCGTTTAGTTTTACTTAATATATTTTTTAGTGTTCTGTTTGGTGAAAAGGAACACTTATGGAATTACTTTAAGGTCTGTCACTAAGATACTATTTTTGATGTACACAATTAAAATTTAAAATAGTTTCAGTATGCAGATTTGTTTATCTTATGGGGCAGTTTTGAAGAAATTTAAAAACCTCACTGTTCATTATAGAGTGAACTCATTAAACTCTACTAATATGCTAACCTCAACCTAACTTATCAGCTTATTGGATAAGTGTACCTTTTTGTAATCAATAAGCCAAGTGTCTGGTGACTCCACACTGTAATTACAGTGGCACAGTACCAAATACTGCTCCAAAACGTTCTTAGTACCCTAAAAACAACAGCTACCAACAAAAGCTTTGGGGCTCCACACAAAATTGGAAGCACTATCAAATTTAAATAATATAAGAACTAATTCTTCGTTTAATCAGTATAAATGTCATATTTTAATTAATATAATTTATCGAAACGTATTCTTAAATCTCCACTAGTTCCCTAGGTTAGAAGTTAACAATCAAAACAAGACGGATGTGGTTCAACACAATTCCAGAATGGCTACGGATTGTTTGAATCAAACTTTTCCCAATTCATGGATTGGAACAAAAAGTCCAGTGGCATGGCCTGTCAGATCTCCATATCTGAATCTATTAGATTTTGATTTGCGGGGACGTGTCAAAAATAAAGTATATAATACAACAATTGCAACAATTCAGATTCTCTGCGAAAATATTAAAGACATTCAAGAAAAAGAAATAAGCAATTGCACAAGAAATGTAAATTTCAGAATCGCCAAGTGTATTGAAAAAAATGGAAGAAATTTTGAACAAGTATTCAATTAATTTTAATATTTTTAAATAATTTAATTGTCACAAAAATTGAATTTCTTTTTGTTATTATCAGTAATTGCGTTTTGAAATATCTACATTACTATTGTTTTTCTTAATAAATTCTTTAATTTTCGGAGAATTACATAATGTTTCGGAAGGATTGACTTTATTTTTCTATCGAGAGATGCCATGTTTCTATGTTGATTCAACTAAAAATGGCATAAACCAAATGTAAATATTAATAAAATTTGGATTACGGTCCATATTACCAAAAAAACAGTCTTTGAATGGCATTTTATGATACACCGCCAGATGCAAAATAAAAATTTATTTGGAATAGTGTCATAAAATATCCAGGTCCGTATTTAAAAAAAAATAAGTTGAAGATGGTCCGAAGATTACGAAACATTGGTTGCAAATTTTAAAAGCTTCAAATCAAAGAGAATTTGCTATCGAATAAAAAACTTTTAAAATATTTTTTTAGTAGTTCTGAAAATAGCATGAAGGATAATCAACAAAACCGAAATGATCAAATTTTCATTTAACGTCATATCTTAGGAACCGGTCCTGATATTTTTAATTAATTTCCACCGCTAAATGATGCTTTAATATACGCAACTTTTATTTATTTAACTTACCTTCCAACTAGTATGATTTGGAAGTTCCTTATACAATTCCATTAAAAAAGTGGGCCCCTTGTATATTTTCGTTATTGATCATCCTTATTTCCGAATATGCTATAATGCAGCTATAATTTTGTAGGTTAATAAATGTTGATTTTCACTAACTTATGCTATAATTCTGTAGGTTAATAAATTTTGATTTCTACTAACTTTTTAATTTTAATTTATTTCAGATATTCCTGTTGTGAACCTTCGAATGGGAACATCCCTTAATCCTGACGACATTAAGGAAGGCGATGACGTATATTTTGAGTGCTTAGTTCAGTCTAATCCAAAGAACCATAAACTATCGTGGTTCCATAACGTAAGTGAAAAAAAAACTATATATAGAATGTCCTTTAATGTAAAAGTAGAAGAAATTAAAACTACTGATAAACTCATAACTTTGTTGATTCTAATTATTCTACAAGCTTTGTTTTTTTTAAGAAATAGATTTAAAACTAGTAATTCTATCTAATGTCAACTCTGTGCGTATGAGATATAATTTTAAAACTATTTTATATGGAAATAACTTTAGTAATTGTTATACTAACAGTTCATAATTCTATTTCTGTTTGTATAAATAAAAAAATAGAACAGAAGCAAAAAAATAAGAACAAGATATTAATGATATTAGGTTTTCAATACAAGACTTGTATTGCTGAATTTTTATTAGTAGTGTGGAATAGATTAATGTTGTAGTAACATACTGTTGTTAGTTAGTTATCTTAAAGATACAAATATATAAATTTATTAATTATTTATAGGGTCTAGAAATATTTCAAAACAACGCTGCAGGTGTGATAATGAGCGATCAAAGCCTTGTACTTCAAAATGTTGCTAGATCAACTGCTGGGAATTATACGTGTATGGCAACAAATTTGGAAGGAAAGGGAATCAGTAATCCTGTCAAATTAGTGGTCAGATGTAAGTGTTCTTTAAATTATAATCTATTTTTTATATAAATTTATTGATATAAATAATGATGATGCTGATAATAAAGATCAATAATTTTCTTCTCTCAGCTCAATTTTTTTTATTATTTAATAAATAGAAAGTTAAATGGGACTAATAGTTGCAAAAATATGGGTCTAAGCTTTTGCTGAGCTTGATATGTGATCTTTTGAAAGCTTTAATGATCGTTATAAGCCATGAGTCATGTAAATCATATTTATATATTTTAGAAGCTGCAATTGTGCCTTCTTTACCCCAAATCTGACTTTTTTTATTGAATATTAATGCTAACTAACTAAAACTTTAATCTTGTTATAAATACACTGTGTCCCCATGGTCTTAAATTACTCAAAATAGATCCAATAGAAGACAAATTAATCCAGACGTCCAACAAATTTAGAGGCAGAGACTAATAAATAGCTAATACAAGGCCATTAGAGCGTTTAGCTGTCATAAATTATCCAAGGACAAATGTCAGCTTTGATGGAGACAATCCTGCAGAAATATTAAGCAGAAGACGAAAGCCATTCCTGATACTACTAAATAAATATAATATTTATCGGAACAGACTAATTAAGAATATACTAATATTATAGTGGTCGTGTTTTAAGAGTGAGACAATGACTATAAAAGTAAAAGTACTGAACTTAAATAGGTAAAAGAGAAAACTAAGATACTAATGTATAAGAAAATCAATAAGACAAAAAAGAGGTTGGTGAGCGGTTAAGAAGAAAATGTTACTTTATAGGAAGAATTTCAAAGTTTTAACTTTAATAGGCTGTGATTTAAACATCCCAAACACTGTCCAAGTTTCACAAATACGATTCTCATTATCGAAGTTTTCTAAACCTTCTATTAAATACACTCTCCTAATAATCAAACAGTATCAACTGGTTTCTAATTTTCAAAATTTCTCCCCTAACTGCTCTCCAATATGCCAATTTCGACCATTAACGATAAATTGTCAAACCTTGATATCCAGGTCTTGAGATTGTTCCTTCATTCTTCTAAGGAATTGTAACTTAATATTTTCTCGCCCTCGCTTTCATATTTTCAGTAAATCAATCGACACAGAAGAGATTTCCTATTATTGAAAACTTTTTATGTCATTCAAATATACAAATCGGATAACAAATAATTGGCCAATTTTAATTCTGAATTTTTTAAAAAACATTATAAATGATTACTTTACTTATGACTGCTCCTGTATCATAACTTTAAAATAGTATGGTTTTTTTACTGAAAATTTAACAGATTTAAATTTAGTGACCTATATCGACTTCTTGTTAGTCGCCTTGGAATAAGGTTAACAAAAACTGACTTTTCTGAAGCTTTTGACGTGGTTAACCATACTCTTCTACTTCAAAAACAACAAATATGATCTTGGTGGGGTATTACTGCAATAGATTGGTAGCTATCTTACTAATAGAACTTAAATGGTTAAAGTTAATCACCAGTATTCTAACTTAGTTAAAGTAATCTCAGATGTTCCTCAGGGGTCCCATCTAGGGCCCTTACTATTTATCTTATTTATTAATGATATAATTTATTGGTTTCGAAGCAGTAAAGCTGCATTATTGTGTTTGCAGTATTTAAAAGATTTGGCCAATAGTATAGAATCCTCTAGATATGTACTGCAGATAACAACCCTTTTGCTTTAAGAGTGGATATCACATTTTTCTAAAGGAAACAGTGCATAATTCAAATTAGAAACAGAAAAATTCATAACGAATCTAAAATACTTTCTGATTGAAATCTTGATAATAATTATAAAGTAAGAATCTTTTATGACCTAAGTTAGCATAAACTCTGATTATGAATTCTGATTCTATACTCTTATCTTCTATTCTGTTTCAATAAACTTATTCAGATTTTTTTTATTTATAACTATTAGATTTGAAAGAAGTTGGGCCTTATTTGTCTTAATCCTCCAGGATCTTTTCAGATCTATTGTGAAACTCCATTTTTTGAGTATGTCGTCTAGCTTGGTGTTTTTTATTAGACTTTGATAGTGGCTCTCGCATGTAGTTCCATTCATTTAGATTTTATTCGCCTAATGTTAGAAACATCAATCTAGCCAGACCCTCACACTGGCACTAAAAAAATATTGGATATAAATTATTGTTTAAATGGCTTATAGGAACTGATGGTCTTAAGTAGATGATTTATTTCAGATAAGATCTGCTAATGCTCAATTAAAGACTATCAGGTTCAGTAGGAATCATGTTTTGTATAAAGAGAAAGATAAAATTTATGGAGTAATCTTTAATATAAGATCTTACAAACGGTTCGTCTTGGATATCTCTTCAGAATCTGCAGTCTTAGATGTCTTACTAGTAATACTTGATTTTAAGAGGGTGAGATCTGTTGTGTGAATAGTTCTGTTTGTGTTGATGCTGATGTCTCTGGGGTCTTTTCCAAGGTTTCTCTTGCTCTACCTCTGTGCATGCGTCCTTCTGTTTTCTAGGGGAACTTTTGTGGTTCCATTAACTTAAGACTGCTTCAAATGTTATAAATCCGAACTGGGTTCTATAAAAAACCTCGCAGTGAAGAACTCATAACGGCCTGTCTGGAATCACATGAAAAGTAATGTGATTCATCTGTCATAAAAAAATTTGCTAGATGTTTGACAATGCTATTAAAAAAAACAATATTTTTTTGTCTTCGTGATTTAACAGGTCCACACTGTACCTGGAACCCGCACTGGTTCCTAGACTCACATTCAGTCTATATAATCCACTCTAGATTTGTTATAAACTGTACTGGGTTTTAAATAACATTCTCATTGTGTTATGGCACTATCTGGAATCACATTTAAAGTAATGTAATCAGAAAGAAGAAGTATATTCAGTTCATCATTTTTCTTCTCGAATTGTAAAATTTTATTATGTATCAAATTGTTACAAATAATAAACCTAGGAGTCGGATACTAGTAAATTTAAAAAAGGAGTGTAATCAAAAGAATAATAATATATTTTATTTCATTACAAAATTCGGTATCTGAATTACCAAAACTGTGACTAATATTAACAGTACACAATCAATTACATAAAATTATTATTATTGATAAGATTATTTTATAAAAGTTACTCCTAATAAAACTCTTTCCTCCAACAATCAATAGATGAACTAATAATTCAAAATGTAGGTAAAACAAAGGTAAAAAAAAATCGATATAGTAAAATATTAATATCTCCGTATGAATATTTCGATGCGATCTGAATTGGAGACGGGAAACAAAGCCATCTCCAGAGACTAATAAATGTCAGAACGGCTTTTTTCATGCCTTTACGAATTTTAGTATGCAAAGTGAGCTGACGATTTCCTTTTTGCTGAAACGAATACGGCTCAAAGCGTTTTCGATATCTACCACTGTTTCACTTTTCAGTTAGCGTTTTATTTTGATCGTTTCTACCACTAGCGTATATTGGCTGGGATTCCTAGACGTTTAAATATGTCTAGGAAGAAATAGTGTATTTATTGGCTGTTTATCTAAAGAGTAATAGAAGAATGATATGAAAATAACTTAAAATGAGAGTGAATACGAGTAAAACAAAAACCGCCTTATTTTCAAATTTCATTGACATTCAACATATCAACATTTACATCACCACCTATGACTATATGATCGCATTAGGGTTTATAATTAGACGCGATATCTTCAAATATGTTAAGAAAATCTACGAAGTTTTGTTTAGGAGGTCTATACCCATGGGTTGGTAGAAGATTCTATCACTCTATCTTTCTATATTTCCAGAAAAATCCTTTCAGATTCCTCTCTCTTGGCTTTTGGTAATCTTCGAGCTGATTGACGCAAGCATGGCGTCACTAGTGTCAATATTATGTTTAACAACATAATTTCTTCTTATTTTTCCTCCTTGTGGTACAAAAATGTCACGATATCGGCGAAAAATTTCTTTTATTTTCCTTTTCTTTAATTTATTTAAAAATTGCCCAACAACTGCATTCTTTTGCTCGAATTTGTCGTTTGAATTATCAGAAGTTGTTGTATGACGAATTATGGAAGTTACTGGTATAGAGGTTCCAATTCTGGCCTCTTTCTCGATGGTAATTAACGTTTATAAGATGTACTGGAATTTTAGTAGTGATCAATCCCTTTCCGATCAAAATACCTCGACTTCTTCATTGTGGTTCGAAGGTTCCATTATGGCAGGTTTTCCTTCTTCCATAGTATCTTGAAGTTGTGCCACTAAAATGATTTTACATCTACTAGGTACCACCGTATCTTTTTGTACAGCTACTGGCACGGTACTGTCCCCATATGGATGTAGGAATACCTCATCAGCACCAACTTTGATCATTCTGTTCTTAACATCTAACTGGAAACCTCGTAATTTCATAACATCTTCGATATCAGCGACAATAACAGTATAAATTCCTAATTAAACCTGCATTTTCCCATGAATGTTTAGCAGTTTCACCTGTGGCAGTCCGCAGTCGCAACCTTGATGGCTGTTGATCGCATAATGGTCCTAGTTTCTCCAATATCCACCAACAGTGTATACTTTTGACCATTCGGTTTATCGTCCACGTATACATTATCATTGCAACATTTCATTATGTTATAATTTTGTTTCCTAAAAAAAAAACATCAAAAAAATCTCACCTCTTGTGGTAGTTCCTTTGAAAATATTACTAGTAATATTGTGTTTTAAAAACGTCAAATACATTATAGAAAATAGTTAATCAACATATAAATTCTGATTTTTTTATATCACTAAATAAATTATAGAAACTGTATAATGGAAAACTAGAATTTTTATGTGGATATATCAACAGTACGTCAGAGACCATGATCTTTTACTCCTTGTCATCTTATAACGTTCCTTACTCTTGGCATATAATTATGTGAATAGTTTTATCTGCATTCTTTTTATATCTATGGTCTTTGCGCAAAATTAGGATTGCTTTAATTCACTGTATACAAAAATAGTTATTATTTCTGTCCTAAC